AAATTCAGAGATGTGCCTAAAGGGATCCTCTCCAGGAAGACCATGGAATTTTGGAAGTAAATTTATGAAGCCAGAATTCAGTTTTAAAGGCTTTTCTAGCTCAGCATATGTGATAGAAAGCGGTTGAACATTTAGGTTAGGGGCTGCCAATTCTCTTAAAGTTGTCATATTTGGTTCAGAATTTATTTCAAAAAGATTATCAAAGATGCTATCAGAACAAGAATCAAACAAATCAACAGCAAGCAAATTGGCAGGTCTATCCTCAGATTCAGCAACAAACTTGCTATTAAAAGAATTGGGTTCAGACACACTTACCTCAGAGTTCCTACCGTTTACCTCTATATCACCAATTACTCTTCCACTCCTCAAGCGCATGCAAAAATCAGATAGCTGCAACTCAAAGAGAATACACAAGTATTAGAGTTCTTATACTTCATTCAACTGTCAATAATTACTGAGCAAATAACAAACAAGCAAGCAATATTGTCTCTTTTTTTTTAAAAAAAAAAATCAGCACCTTAAGTAATAGGTGAATTCAAATTTCTGCTCTCTTGTTTTTTTAAAGATAACAAAGTGCATTAGTTGCTCAGTTGAATTTACTTTAAAAAAAATATCATTTTAATGAGACTCCCTAGTCTGAATAAAAATCTGCAGTAATGCATCTTTGAAAACAGTCTTTTTAAAGTGCTTTTGGGCAAGTTCTCATTAAAATAATTGCATGTTTCAAAGGAAAGAAGTCAGTACAGTTAGTTCCTACTTCTCTAATTGTTACTAGTTAGCAATATAAAAATATTTTGATCAAACTTGGACTAGAAACTCCTTTTAACACCATTTTCCTAAAAATATTTAAGCTCCCAGAACCTTATTTGTTCAAAATCTGCATTTAGTGGAGTAAAAGATTGATTTTAAAAACTGTCAGTAACTCTATATTTTTTTTTTTAGTAAAAAGTTGGCCAACGGAAAAAAAAACATAGGGACTCATAACAAACTTGATTACAAATTAGACACAAATGCACCTAGGGACTGACTTACTTTTTTTTTAAGTGTTTTTTTTAACAATAAGCAAACCCATTCTCATTTAAAAAATTATCTTTCCCCGGCAACGGCGCCAAAATTTGTTAGGCGTGTCGTAGCACCTACAAATTAATTTATTCTTTTCCTTTACTTAGTTCCTTCTTGTAAAAATAGTATTTATTAAATCTATAGATATGATAAGTAAGAGTCGATCCCACAAAGAAAGACATTTTTTAGGCTACGAAAATCGGTTTACTTTGTCACTTTTTATTGAGTGAAAACAACTATCTAAAATCTATAAACTAAATTAAAAGATGGGGGGGTTTGAAAAATTGTTTTCTAAATAAAGTAAAAAACTAACTAAAGTGACACACCACACCAGAACAAATCTCAAAACAAACCAAGGATAAAAACAGAACATAACTCCACCAAAAAGCCCAAACGAAGAAGACAAGCACACATAACACAATAATTTAGAGACTTAAACAATTTTAGAAAATCAACAAAATGTTTTATAATATAGAAAATAAATATCCAGGATCAAAACTTTGTTGAAAACTAGCATAATCATCAACCAACTATAAATTAAAACAAGGGTCCGGCTGAAAAAGAGGTCCACCAACGATTCTTTCCTATTTTCCCATTCATAAAAGCTCATGTTAGGACCAACCCTAACTCTAAACCCTACTACCCTTAGCAACCCAAAGACCAACCCTTAGATTACTACTAAGAATAGTGCATTAAGATTTGTGGAAAACATCACCGTAACAATCTTGCAGTAACACGAAGGTTATTTAACAAAATCAGTTTGAGAACCTTGATTAGCAAAAACCACTTAACGAGGCAGCCTAGGTTAATCAAGTGACACTTGGTTTCTAGAAAAGTTCGGCTATTTAAAGCACTTTGGACTTTAAAAGAATATCATTTTAAATTGGATTAGGTCGCGATCCTAATTTGACCCAACTTAAGTAAAATCAATTGAAA